GGGCTGCTGAGCGTTTTGTCGTCGTTATTATTTCTTAGGGGTTTAGACCTTTCCGTCAGGCGGCTCGGTAACGCCTGAGCGGCAGCGCCCGGCGGCGCTCCCCGCCCCGACGCGGAGAGCTGCTCTTCGGGGCGTTAAGTGATTAAATTACGATGTCTGATGGCTTCTGGGCTTAGCGTCCTGCCGGCTTCCTGCTTGAGGAAGTTCCCTTCCCCTTGCGAGAAGCAGTGGGGCAAAGAGTGCGTCCGTTTAAACGTGTACTTATGCCCGCGCGGGTTGCTGTTTGGACGCTGAGCTGTTGCCCCGGGTCGGGCCAGGCCTACGCTGGCGCGCGGCGCGGGTCCTGCGCCCTTCTCCAAGCGTTGCGGTGCCTTGCAAACAGGCCAAGCGGGCTTTAGTCGGCCTCGGGGCAGCTCCAGCCAGCGGAGTTGATTTGGTGCAACTGCTAAATTGGGGGGGGGGCGGCCTGGTGGAGAAGGGTGAAGCCACAGAATTACGCCGGGAGTTTCATGGTCAGTGTTTGGGGTTTGATGTGATGATACAGCACAGTGGCACGACGTTCAGACCTCATTTCTTCTACAGAGAATAAAAGTGTCTTCTAAGATGCTGTTGAGATTTGGTGACTCGCAGCAGTGTTACGGCGTGTGCTAACAGGAGAGTTCAGGCTGCCTCCAGCTTTGCAAGTTTTCCTTTAGCACCTGCAGGTTAAAACAAGTAAGCTGCAAAGAGCAGAGCTACATTAGGGGGCTGGAGTTTGGCAAAAATCGGGTTTGGGGTGTCTTTGAGCAACATGGTTGCAAATAGCAGCGTACAAACCACTTGAATAATTCAGATAGCAAGCTTGCTGAGAGCCAACGGTCAGGTTGGCTAAGTCCCTGCCACTCCTTGATTAGAGGAGCAAAAAGGGAAAACGTGGCAGCCTTCACACTTCATGTATTAAACAGTGCAGCCTTGGGTCATATGTGAGAGTGCATCAAGGGACGAAATACCCATGATGCCTCACTGAAATATTTTAGTTTTAAGGGAGTGTCAGCATCCAGGTTATGCTGCTTTAGCTATCGGTATTCAGAGGACAAGAAACGAGGACAGCAGAAAAGCGGGGGGAACAAGGGCAGACTTAGCCGGGTCCGAATCCAGCTTTGCCAGCTGCCCGTGGATGCTGGAATCAGTAGCTGGTTTTACCCGAATAAGGAAGAGTCGCAGCCTATACTGGATATTTAAAATTTTATTTGTCTTTGACAAATTCTCATAAAAACACTCTAATCTATTTGGTTTTAGTATTCAGGCAGTACAGAGTTCTGATATTATCAAGAGTGATATTAGAGAAGCAGTACAAACCAATCTACTTTAGCATGTAACCAAGTACAGGTGTAACTAAAACCACCTATAAAAACTAACTGCCCTGCTTTCTTGGGCTTTACGGTTAAAATACAATACTCAGTAAATGGTTACATTCACCACCCCATATAAATAAAATCTAACATGGTAAAATTGGAACAGCAGAATGTGCAAGAGTCAAAGTAAAAATATATGGATAGGTATTTTGCTAGTTAAATGGTGATTGCTCTAACTGCATCTATATTGTAAGTCTCTCTCGTAGGTGCAAGTGAGTTTTCCCTCTTCAGTTCCAGTTAAAGTTCATCACTTTCATACAGTCCAGACTGCTCAGCCAAACGCTGAAACTCTCCTTCTGGTGAGAAAGCTTGTTTCACATCCAGTCCTCTACCATTGAGTGCCAAATACTTGCTGAAAGTTGGTCGAACCCGCAATTGCTTAGGGGCTGGAACTGGCTTTTTTGCGTGTGCTGCAAGAGAGAGGGGAAAAAAGTGTCTTTCAGTGTTTTCCTAGGCTCCCTCAACATAGCAGATAAAAAGCAAATGGGTTGCTATGTAAAACAGCAAACCCCTTGGACAAATTTAACAGGTAAGCCCCGTATCCCACTAACTGGAGACTGATGGGAAGGACCACATTCATCCTACTTCTTGGTATCAAGCAAACTGCAGACTTTAAATAGCGCAGACAGCAGATGCAGATAGACAATGTACAAAGGACACCACACATTATCTTGGCACAGAACAAATGCAGTATCTTCCTGGACTAGTTACTTTTTGTCTACATCAGTATCTCGGGAAAGAAATCTACCCAGGAGTTTAACCTCATGAAGTTAATCTTCAGGGTCTGTTCCGAATACAAAGGCAAGTGGCTGCTTAAGTTGCAGTCTGAGGTATTGTGATGTGGTACTTACTTGCAACCTCCAGTCTGGCATGGCATGTGGCCACACCTGCTCCATTAACAGCAGATACTGTATACCAACCAGCATCTTTCTTGTCTGCATTATGAATCAGGAGGCAAATCCTTCCAGTATTGTCATGCAACAAGCTGGAAAATTAAAAGGGTTTACGTATAAGTACTTGGAGAAGGAAGGAGAGAAGACAAAGACAGCGAAGTCAGAGAGGCAGCCTACGTGCTGAGGAGTTGAGAAAGCTCTAGAACAATTTTTGCAGGGCACTGCAAATCCTTTAGATATAAACACTGCATTGCCGTGTTGTGAGATCACCACTAGTTCACATTGTGGTAGCGTTCCAGTGGCATCAAAGCCCTCCTGTAGCGCCTGCTGCCTCAGAGCACGATGAATATGTTGCACGTTTCAGTCCTACAGCCTTGCTTACCCATGGGCACTGTGGTTGCCGCTAGCCTTCAGAGTGGCATCTGGTCACAGAGTTTTTCTTTCTGTGCTCTCAAACGAGACTCTGAGCATTGCGTCTGTCCAACACAGGGGCCTGTTTGTCATGTGTAGTAAATGAGGGGCATACCTAGCCAGGGGCTGCTGCTTTTAGAAACCAGCTCATTCAAATTTGACTTAACACACACTGGTTATTGTTTTCTAACACACCAACGGCCAACTTATTAGTAGGATACCTTATTCGGTCTGTATTATATTGTACCATTTCATTGTTTCTTTTCCAGTAAATCCGGGGTGTTGGTATGGCAGAGATCTGGCATTCAAGTCTGGCTGTATCTCCTTCAAAAACTTTTTTGCTTTGTGGTTTGAAGATGAAAGTTGGAGGAGTATGATGCTCTTTTGCTAAAGAGGAAAGATGAGAAGGAATTATAAGAAGTATTGAATGTCAATAGCAAGCTTTGTTTTTAAGCTTTTTAGAAGTGTACATTTAGGAGGACACATGTCTCAGTAATTCCATAGCCTATAGGCAGTTCCCATGAGCACCAGGATATAACAGGCACACAGTCCCCTTTAGGAAGAGAGTGGATCAACATATTCCATCAATATTAAATTTGAGTGACCCCCTAATTCTGGACAGGATGCCTAGATATCCCAAGACAAGTGTTTTGAAGAAATAGTGAGACCTAAATATATGTACTAGAATAGGCTTGGAAAAGGTAAAGCGTTTGTTATAATTTGAGCCTGAATAGGTGGAGATCCACCTCTGCTTCCCAGTTGTTTTAATGTCCCAAACACAGAGAAAGGCATTAGACTACAGACACGTTCCACGGCTTGCTGGGTAATTATTAGTGCTCTGTGTCTTACCAATTACTTCCACTTTTACTGCGAAAGAAGCTTCCCCTGCGCGGTTGACAGCCACACATTCATATGTCCCTGCATCAGATGATTTGACTGCTTCAAAAATAAATGAGTGGAATCCTTTTTCCGACACTATCATTTTATGGAACTGATCTTGATGAACCATCCTTCCGTTCAGATACCACATCACATCTGGAGTTGGCAGCCCACTAACCTGTAAAGGAGAGGAAAGAAGTGAAGAGTTAAACCGCTTTAACGTAAGCTCTTCAATGCTATAGGGAGTTTGATGCCATTAGATGATGGAATCATGCCCCTACAGCGGAAATTTACAGTCTTGTCTGGTTTTGACTATTAAGGTGGTGCTGAGCAGAGAGGAAGGCTCATGGAGTCCTCTGGACAAGCCAGAGAGGTGAGCTTTAGCTACAAGACAGTGGATGCTGTTCCTGCAAACCCTTGGCATTCCCATCCTGCTGGCTAGTTTTGATTTAATCTCACAGGACTAACACTGTCAGCAGTGAAAACATCACTGTCCATTTTGTTTGGATAATATGTGTAAATAAGCTGTATGCTGCAGACATCCTCCATATTGCCAAAACATTCAGAAGTTAAACAATTTGCAGCAAAATGGCTGAAGGTCATGCCAAAGGCGGGCAAGCATCTGTGTGAGGAAAGGGCTTGGAAGTCACCTTGGGTGGGACTAGGAAAAAGCAAACCACAGTCACTATTAGGAAATATTCCTTGCAATAAAGTTGCATGTGTGCAAGACCTAGGTTCTGTCTCACCCTAAAGTTGGTACAGTTGTCATGCAGTTTTCAGGCCGTTCAGGTGTTTTGTTTGCTTGCAACTAGTGCATTGCCTTGCAAGGTTATCTGCCACAGCAAGAACACACTTACAGCCCCCAGGACTGATTAAAGGCAGGCAGTCCTCACGGACACACGGCTCCATTCCATCGAAGTCCGTGGGAGCCTCAGTGCAAAGCACTAAGTCACCTGCCTAAATGCTTTGCTGAAGCATGGCCTTGATATTCATTCTTCCTAAAGACGACTCTGGAGTCTTCTGTGGTGGTACATATTTACCACGACTTAGCTTTAACCGTACTCGTATGCATCTAATCCCACTTACATTTTCCAAGGGAAGATATTGAGAAATTAACCCCTTTCTCTATTACCTGGTTCACATGGCCTAGAGAGACCGGGCACTATCTACTGTTAGGCTGTTAGTGCTCTGGTTTATTAAAATCCATATACACTGCAGCACAGAGACCTGGATGCTGCACACACCCCAGAGTTAGTGGGGCTGAACTAAAAGGCTGGCATTACTTTAAAGTCGAGCCTGCAGAAGCGCCCCTCCTCAATAATTACGTCTTCAGGCACTTGTGTAAAACGTGGTTGAAAAAATTTTTCCTGGATTGAGTCGTGTCCACGTTCGTCTCCTCTTGAGGACGGTCTGCTCCTAAAAAAAGCACACAATACCAGGTGCATTAGTTGTGCAAAAGTTACCACAGCACAAATCATACTGATTGCAGCCAGAATACCGCAGCAGTCCTAAGCATCCAGTACAGTTCTGTTTTGTTTTTCAGCTCTTAGGTTAGGCATGAATTTTGATCAACCATTTGTCTCGCTCAAGTTGTTTGATTCAATATAGGAGCATCACATATGAAGAGTGATCTTTGGCCTAATATCCCAAAGAATTTGTAAGAATAACATAAGCTGTGTTTCATCATGGTCTAAGGTCTGTAGTTACTCTGTACATTGTTGGAACTTGGTTTGAGTAGAGATGTGCTAGCATCTAGAGTATGAAGCATATTTGCCCTGGGTATATGGAGTCTTTACACCTTTAACCTTATGCTTAGAATTGACTGGATTAAGATCACAGTTGAACCACCTACAAACGGTAACGTTTTAGTTGAAAAGAAGTTAGTAATTCATTTTAGAAAAAAATGAATAAAAAGCAGAATAACATTTGCTAGAAATATTTGAAATAAGGTATTAAGGAGTAGCTCAGCGCAAGTTTATGCATTACCTTACGTGTGTTGTAGGAACCTGCAACCTGATGTTTTCTGTATTCTGGTGCTTGGAAAGAAAAAGAGTGTAAGTTAATTTATCTTTCAAGAACTGAACAGAAAACCATTCTAGGATAGTAAACTGACTACTGCTTAAAAGCAAACTGAATGCTTCAGAAGTCATTGGGACAAGGTGTAAAGACATTTGCATCGGGAGCTAATATACTTGGTCTTCACCCTAGATTTTTGGCCATGCCAGTAACAAGTACTATTAATAGTATGGGACAACTTCTCATCACTCTGCGCAGGTGATAGGTGCAGTAATTGCCTTTGGCACACAAGGCTTTTGGCAAGCCGGTAACCTTTGTTAGAGGGGAATACTGGCAGTATCTAAAATGAGAGCTGAGTACGGAGTGTCCTTCCCTACTGCAGGAATAGAAGTGGAATCGCTGGCAAGAACACTGTATTGTGCCTGCTTAAATATGGTACCAGGAGCAATGAACACATGTTGAGCTGGAAAATATTTTTCCTGCTAGATCATAGCCCCCAGCTAAGCTTACTCACAACTCCACAATCACATGAGAGGATCTTTTAAAGTACCCCGGATTGATTCCTGGTAGGAATTTAGATGTTTGGAGAATACAAGTAGAGTTTATTACCAGGGACTCATTTTAGCAGTGGAATCAGATAGAGTAAATGCTGCATGGAAATTTCTAGGGTATTTGCATTAAGCCGTTATGATACTTGGTTCTGTGCTCTGTAGCCCAGTCCTGTGGAACACTTAAGCCTGGGTTTGAACTTCAAGCATAGAGGCAATCTTCAAATTCAGCAGAAGTGACACAATAAAGGTTTTGCTGGACTAAGTTCAAAGCAGAGTTTCAAAGGCAGTTGCTTTCATCTGCTCGTTAAGACAAGTATTGTGTAATTGCTCTTTGTCTTGTGAAGTGATACTGTAGAGATGAAGTTGCTGATGATAATTCTAGTGCTCTGTTATGAAGACTGACTGTACAGTAAGTTATTGAGGAATCAGGAGGCTGAATGAGTCACTGATAGCAACATTTAAGAATAAGACTGTACAATGCAAACAAGCTCTCCCAAACGTAAGCCAATCTCTCCTTCCACTCTTTATGGAGCATTGCACATCCCTGAAAAGGCGTTAATCATCCCGTTTTGGCTGAACAGTTCCTTGCTCTCTGTGAAAGATGAGGTCTCCCTTGCTCTGTGACATCCATAGTGTTCCCTGCTTGCCTGCTGTTGACATCAGGCCATCATTGATGGGAAGAAACAGTTTCATTACAACTCAAACTGTGTTCCTCCCTTGCTGTGATCTTAAGTGTCTCTTGCACTGAGGAGAGCTTTGCTAACTGCATTTTGAAAGCTGTATGACAGCCTGCTGGTTCCCTCTACCTGCATGCAGCAGGCGGGATGCTTTCTTTGGTAACACAGGTATCCAGTGCCGCATCACAGACGTGTTTCCATTAACTTTGATGTGCCAAAGAAAGCTTTTAACTAGCCTGTTCTGAATAACCAATGAAGGATGCAAGTCCCCAATTAAAATGTTTTTCAACATGCCAGTAGTAATATATCCGTGGCTATCAGCATGTGGGTCACTAAAATAACTGCTTTGTCTTCCCTTAATGATTGCAGCCTCCTTGAAAGGATAAAACCCAACCAAACCCACTCCAAGGTCCTGACCTCTTATGGTCAGTCACTTATTCCAAACAGTGACAGGTGTAAATCCCGTTGCCCTGGCCAAGCGTGAGCTCAGGCTGCTGGAGAGCGTGTACCTGTGTCCCTTGCTGTGCTCCTCTCTGCCTGCTGCAGGCAGGGTATAGTGTGCTGTGTAGCAGCTGTTGTAATTCCTGCCTGGAGAGGTCATTCTTACAGATCACAGCCCAGTAAGAGGATGCAAGTACTGCTACTACTTACTGAGTGCGCAAACTCCCCCCCTAGAACACCCTCAAAATCCAGCTATACAGAGCTCTGCTAGTGAAAGCTGTCCCCTTCCCTTTCCTCTGAGTCTGCACTGGCACCAAGGAAACCCCATCTCGCCTCCCCACTGCAGTATCAGCTGCTTGCAACGCAATCGCTGGGAAATCACTGTTCTAGGGACAGGTTCCCGTTTACCTGTGCGTTCTGCGTGCTTTCTTCACTCTGTGCTTCCAACACAGATGCAGCATTTTCTGGTCCGAGCAGCCTGCGAGCCATTCTTTCTTCATAAGTTAATCGCTTAAAGCGGAACGGAGAGGAAGTCTAGTTAGAAGTCCATTTACTATTTCAGTTCATCTCGTGAGCACATTAATATGCCCCAGGTTCAGGGCGTTGTCATTGAAAGCAGTGGCTGAATAGAAACACAACATCTGATCCAGAGGGTTTGCTGTCCGTGATGCCTACTGGAGTCAGCCTCAATATATACACCACTGCAAAGCACAAAGATTAAACTGCCTGTTCATCAAAGCCTTTCTAATACCATCTGTGGCCTTCCACGCCTCCTCTTTCTGCACTGGGATTATTTATGGGTAACTGATGGCATCATCGCAGAAGCCAGAGTAAGTCCCAGAGTACCTTTCTGTTAGCACTGGGAAAACTTTCCAAGTCATTCAGCTGTGGATTTACTTCAGGAACTAAAGGCTTGATGGGTGCTAATGATGGCCTCTTCTCCCGGCAAGAGCCACGAGCCACACCAGAGGCAGACACAGCCAGGTGGGAGTGCATGGTGTGCGCCGGGGTAATGAGGAAGGGCAGCCCATACCTCTGAAAGCACAAGCAAAGTTTATGCCAGACCTACAGCTGCCATATTAAATGCTGTGTGCTGCCTTGAGAGGAGGCAAGAATGCGTTCAGTCATGTAACGATCAGGTTCTTACTGTATGGATGCAGCACACAGGGATAAATATGAAGAGCGTTAAATTCAAGCTCTATTAGTTTTGTTACTTTAGAAGAGACTGAGCACATTAGTCCTGTGAGCACCAGCACGCCGGAAACTTTGCTTCCCACAAGTTTCTCTTGGGTTTGGAATTTGTGAAGTGAGGACAAGCTGCAGCTGAATTTCTCCTGTGTCTGGGGCATATATGCCGTTGCTCCTTTGTAGAAAAAGGCCTGTGGAGTCTTGTGGGACTTTTCTTTAGAAGAGAGCAAGAGACTTTTTTGCAAAACCTGTGGGAACTTAATATCCCTGAGATCATGACTGTTGTATCGAGTGTGGCTGAGACTGGCCAATAGGTTCAGACGTTGTTGGAGGACAGGGGAAGGGGACACAGAACAGTGAGTGCATAAGCCTTATTTTTAGCCTGGCTTCCTATGAGAAGAAAAGCTGGCTTGCGGTGGCAAGCTTTATTAAAGCAGCTAGGACATTCCAGTTAGGGACACGCTAACTCAGAGCTAACCTAGTATTTTGTTTTTCTTCAATATTTAAATTGTGTCATATGTATGACACAAGCCTGTTCCTAACTGTAAATACTGGGCTTTTAACAGTCTGCCTCCAACCAGCAGGACGGTTCCTGCGTTAGAGAGCTGCTTGCTCTAGCTGAGAATGAGACCTTCTTATAGGAGATAGCCTTTAAGATAAAAGCTCAGGTGTTTTCCTTGATTTGTTTTTGTTTCTATAAAGAGAAATCAAAGAGCTTTACCACATGTGATGCTTGCTGCAACAGGTCTCCAAATATTGGTGCTTCTCCCAGTTTGTAAGTATTCAGGGAGTGGTTTATGAAACCCTAGCACTGGGAATCAGGGTGACAGCATGCCTGGAGAACCCTGAAGCAGTCCTATTGGGTTTTTAAGTTGTCTATGGATGTGACATTCAGCAAGATGTGCAGCAGAAAGTGCAAGTTTGTGCCACCTTTCTAAATACTTACCTTTCTCTGGGTATACAGATTCCTTAATCCAGACCCTGGCCTTATTAATTTGACTGCACAGTTTCAAGAACAGCCTGAACAGTGTGTGCTGGCCAAGAGGGCAGGATGAGAGGGAAAGACAGTAGCAGCTCAGCCATCCTGCTGCATCAGATGGCTTTCAGGAGTCAGTGCTGCTCTTACTGAAGTCAGTAAGAGCTGCAGACAGTCAGCTGCTGCAGACAGTCAGCTGCCGCAGTAGCTGCCTACAGATAGATTTACAGCTACTGTCTCTCCTGCCACGCATTCAGGCCAGCTTTCATCATGCCCTAACAATATGCTGCTCCTTTACTGGGAAGGAGCCTCTCTCATGGTTGAGCTGGGCCCAAAACCTACCTCAGCAGCACAGGCATTTGCATTCTAATAGCAAAAATAACTATGAATAAGGATGCTGGGCGCTGAAGCAGTTGAATTTAAATCTTTCAGAAACCACACCTTTCACACTAGCCCTGAGCCTAGACCAAAAAATGGCTGCTGGAAGACTTTTTACAATTTCTAATGGAAAAAATTCTGCCCCCTCACACAAAAAATTATGTAGTCATAAATGGTTCAAAGAACCCTCACTGGGCCCTGTCTAGGTACTAAGTAAGGGTGTTTGGGAAGTGGTCTGCCATCCACTTGTTCCTGGACTTTCTTTTGCTTCCTGCTCAGTTGGAAGGCTCCAGCCTCTGGGGCACTAGAGCTAGCCTCTAGCAAATCCCTGTGTGCACTAACAAGAGTCAGAGCAAACCAGTCCTTTAATCAGCAAGTTTTCCTTACCTGGTTGCCGTTCTGCAGAAGGTTGTCTTTGCATCGAAGTTTCCTTTCCAAGTCCTGAATGAGGGCCTCTTTTGTTCCTCTAATCTCGTGGTCTGATGTCTTCTGCATAGACTTGATACTAGCTTGTTTGTTATACATCGGTTTTGAGTACCTACTCAGACAAGAAGAGAAAGGCATTTTTGTAGGCTTTCTTGGCTATTTACTACAGCTTCATAGAATACACGCGAAAACGTGAACCTGCCACCTAGACACCGTGGCTCAAATGAACCTGTAAGGCACTGGGGAGATACATGAGGTAGATGTTACAATCAGGGGTCAAAATCCTCAGGGGGAAGCATCATGGTCTAACCAAGTCATTGAGTGTCCCTATTGTGACAACACTGTCACAATAGCCTGCTGTGGGCAGCATCCCTAAATCTTGGTGTGGCCCCTGTCCTGGGTCTGATGCATGCAGTAGGGCTAGCAGTGTTTTGAAGGAGCCACTAACTCCATTGAGCCTTGCGAGTTTGTCAAGGAGCAACTTCTCCCTCAAAAACTGCATTTCTCTATATTTCAGTTGTTAAAAATGCCTCGGGTGCGGCACCTCCACAGGAGGTTCACAAATGAGTTGATTAGTGTGAATAAAGAGCTTATAGTTGTTTTCTTCTTCTGCGCACCAAAAAGTTAGTTGATGCAGCATTTCTGTTCAGATGTTAACTAGCCACGCTTACCCAAGCTAGGCTGGGTCTCTAGGAGCCCATGTAATCCATAATCAAGGGACACAGTGAAATCTTGGCTGTGGTAGTAAGTTAGGTGGTATACTTGATTCTGAAAGGCGTTAGGGATGACTTGTGAAGGTCTACCAGAGGTCACAGCTCTTTGCTGACAATATCTAACCCGATTTTTTTAAATGCAGTCAGGCCTTGTAGGCTGTGATTGTATCAGGCAGTTATTTCTGTTCCAAATCCTCTTCCTTCTGTAGCTTGGGAGTTTGTTCTGCTGACTAGAATAGGGCAGAAGAGCTATAATGCTGGTATGTATCCCCAGCACTGGTTGGATTTATAACTTGCTCAAGGCCACCAGGTTAAGTCTCACGTTCCTGTTTGCCCATTTGTAAAATGATTAGGAAAATCCTTGACTCGCACGATGTTGCCTTTAGTTATTCAGAGAGACTTAGGCGAAAGGCATAGTGAGGCATCAAAGCTCTTTGCTGTGAAAACAAACAGCCCTACACTACACACACAAAACTCAGTAGTTATTCCAGATGCGTGCCTAACCCACATATACTGTCTTGCTGCATCAGCAGTACTTTTAAGAAACACTACTCAGTGTCACAGCTAACCCACTTGGTATCACCACAGTGCTGTGGCTTTAAAAAAAAAAAAAAAAGCAAAAGCTAGAAACAGTCAGATTTCCTGAATACAAACTGACATTTAAACCAAAGTTTATATCCAAGTCAGCATGAACCCCTCCTACCCCTAGCACCTTCCTAATATCTCCAGTTGAGTGTTACCTGCATTGACTTTCCCCAGGACCTCCAGCTAATATTAGCAGGAACAGAAGGTGGTGAGAAGGCAAGACCCAGCTCCCTTTGAGATCTCACTGACCTTGAGAGATATTTGGATTGCAGCCCAAACGCAAAATGATATAATACATATCCAGGAAAGAATTTGATCTTTGGTCTGAAGGGGAAAAATTTCAAGTAATTGCCTTTTTGTTAGCATGTATGATTACTGAAAACTGTATTGTAGATAAGTTTAGAGGCCTATCATGATGTGGAGCCTGGAAATACTGCTGAGACTTGCTAGGAATCTTAACTGTGCTTATATGTGGGAAATACTTCCCGCATGTTTGTTGACAGAAATTCATTTGAGATGAATGCCCATCTTCTGCCCTGGATACCCTTTACACAAGCAGGGTCCACCCAATCAAACTGAACTGTTCAAAGCAACCCAAACAACAGACACACAGCAGCCAGTTACATCGCTGCTGTGTAGTTTAATTCCTGGTTTATAGCCCTCTATCCAACACAGACACCAAGAGCGAGCGTTCAGCCTCCTAACCTCATTCACTTTGCTCATGCAAAGTCCTGCCTTGAACATCAGAAGTTGAACAGAGTTGTTGCGTTAGCTTCATCAAAACCAATGTTCCCCTGGATGTTTGGATTTGGGTTGGTCAGTGCACGGCAGAGGCCAGGTCAGGCAAATCTAGTTCAAAGCAAGCGGGAGTTAGAAGCCTGTAGGTACTTACTGAGGATCCGCAGGAGAAGGAGCTTGGCTGTTATAATCAGGCTGTGAGGGTAGCACTGAGCACAGGAATGCTGCGGGGGGTTGGTTAGGCATGGATATAAGCCGGTGCCCAGATGATGAGCTAGCAGGAGACTGCGCAGACGCAGGTGTGACGGGATATGTGGATTCCTTAGGGGCGCTACAGGAAGGCGAGGAGAGCGTGATTGAAGAGCTCAGCGATGAGGAGGAAGAAAGTTTCTGCCCGCTAGGGTTACGAGGCTGTATTAGGATGGAGGACTGTTTGATTTGTCTACTTGACTCTGTAGAGGCTGCGGGTCCTGGAGGCTGCTGTTGCCCTTGACACACACTCTTAGCCTGGATAAAGTGTTTTGGACGTTCGTAGTTAAACAGGGTTGGTTGGTACATAGAGGAAACGGATGGGAAATTATGGACACTCATAGGAGAAGTTTCACAACTGTCCTGGGTTTTTGTTGGTGACAATTGGCTTTGGGTAGGTGGCTGGTAAAAATTAGATGGCAGGCCACAAAAGCTTTCCTGGCTGGGCTCCTGGATAGAGCGGAACCCTTGCCTTGCAGAATAGAGGCTGTCTTGGTGTGGATTTTCCCTTAAGGAAGACAATACAGATAAAATAAATTGTATGGCACAATTTGAATTGCAAAAATGCTGTTTTGTGAGCAGTCATTATCAGTCCAAAGAGCATGAAGTTCAGGCAATGGACAATTAAACCTTAAGCTTAAAATAGAGAGTTTCGGGGTTGATTAGAACTATTCCAGAACTAGATGAACATTTCTGATTACAGTAATAAGTCATACACTCTGTCACACCCGGCTGCAGTGTTCACCACTGGAAGAACCTAGTAAATGCTAAAAGAAATAGCAATTGGTTTACTGTGACAACCCGTCACCTGCCCAAGTCTACAGACAACCTTAGATAGTAGAGCGAAGCAAGGTAATTTGCCACATATCATTTTAATTAAAGATCTTTGGGGCCTGCAGTTTTGTACCCCTGTCAAAATACTAAATGTACTATTATGTGCAGAATTCACTATTTTTGCCAGGAAATCCACTACACTGTAGGGAAGCATGAAGCAGGTTCCACTTTCTTTTAAGCCTAAAACTAAATATTTGAAACCAATTTCTTCTGTAATAGTTTTTGGATTCAGAGCTTTTTATATCCAAATGAGATTAGGAGTTGGAATGCCAAGGACCATGCTTCTCTGTTTGAAGCGATTTGTGAGATTGGTTATTATAGCTAGTAACTGCCAGAATGATGCAGTCATAGGATGAAATAGCGTGAGCAGAGCTGCTTAGAGGTGCTGCATGTATTTTGCAGGTCAGTGATATCTAAACTGGGCCTCCCATCAGTTTACAAAAGAGGAAAGTTTAATTAAAGGGATCTGACTAAGTTTGTTAAAAAATGACAAACAACTTCAGCTCCAGGATAAATAAATAGCCCCTCACCAAGATAAGTGAAAAGCTACTAATGTAAATGAGAATATAAATCTACGCAGTTACATGTGCTGGAAAAAATTGTAATCTTGTCCCACTGAGATCAGCTGTTTTGCTGCTATATATAAACCCAGTATATTGTATTCCTTCCATCGGAGAGCCCAAAGGAGGGTTCCATGAGGTCATAAATTCCCTTGGGGATCAGCTGAAGGCATCACTCCTCCTGTTTTAAAGATTCAGAGCCTTCATTTCCTACTTATCAGTATTAGCTAAAAATTAAGTAAACGGAAGTCTTCTAGTAAAACTCCCTAACTTTCCCCTTGTCATGTATTGAAATTTGAAGCCAGCTCAAATTTTTGGAGCGCATCCAAGCTATTTCTCATTCATTGGTGCAGAAAACTGCTTCAATCTTGTTTTCACGCTTTTTTTAATATCCCTGCCTGTATACAGATTCCTTTATTTTATCTACAGGCTATGAACAAAAGCTGCCCCTTACTTTGTTTTCTAGATAAACCCTCTGCCCTGCATTGTGAGGATTCACTTGTCACAGCGAGGAATCGCTTACGTTTCCCTCAAATCATCCCACCTTGATTTAGAGGAAAAAAACAAAATCCAAACAGACTGCTGACTTTACAAGCTGGAAAAGCACATGCAATAGTAGAAACATTTAACTTTTTAAAAATCACTGATTTTTTCCTTCTTCGCCTCCTGCACTACACTTACAACGCAGTACCTTAAAACATACACTTTCAAAGATGCCACGTTACCCAGTGCACTGCAATACTAGCTTGCTAATCGGATATGAAATAAAAGGTAACATGAAGAAAAAAACCTACACCTTACCTACAGCGTAGAAGTTGCCACCTGGGCTTTAACCAGTATTTTGAGAAGGGACCGTCATTCAGTGACACCAACTGTCATAGTAGTCCTCTGCATAGCATTTTAAGACCAGAGGCTTTAATGTGCTGCCAGCTAATGACACCCGCTGGACCTGCCCGTCCTCCTACCTACACCAGTGTCAGAGTAGTGGCTCCTCCCAGGCCCTTTTTTTTTTTTTTTTTTTTTTTTTTTTTTTTTTTTGGTGGTGCCTGTGGTCAGCAGATCATGCAGTGCAAGCAGCATCAATCCTGCTCCCCAGCAGCCTCTCAGCTGTGAGGCCTGAGGAGGAGCTGAGCCCCACCAGGTTACCCTGGGTTTTGGAGCAGGACCTTCCTGGTAGGGTGCAAGGCCAGGATAGGTGCCTGGAGCTGTGCCCTGGCCTGCTTGCTGGCCGTGGCAACAGACTGCCTCTCCATCCCAGCCACAGAAGGGTTTCAGTGCCTTTGCAGGCGTTTCTGGTGCTCCTGGCCTCAGCACAGGGGGTTTATAGCTCACCAGTGTGGTTTATTTGGGCCTGTTTCAAGCACAGTCTGCAGCTGAAGCTTTGTTTCTGAAATCCTGCGGTTTTGGCCTGTTGCTGTGCCCTGAGCTAGTTCCCCCCGCTTTGGGTTTGGGGCCAGAGCTCTCGAAGGGCAGGGAAACCTGGCCAGCCCCTACTGGTAGGGTGCTGCTGCCTTCCCAGCTGTGGTGGTGTCCCAGCACCGACGTGCACAGCAAGGGACCGGTGCCGCTGAAGTTAGTGGCGACTGCCAACCCCGGGGACGGGGCGGGTGGCAGCCTCTGAGGTGGCATCTCTCCTGGAAAGCCCTTGCCCTGGAGTTAAACCCCTGAGCACTTGGTGTGGTCCTCACCACCCCCATCCCTGGTCACCTCTCTATCAGGGAATGGCACTGAAGGACCATTTCATGTGCCCAAATGTGTCCATCTGTCTAAATCCTCTGTTAAGCATCTCGGGGAAATTTCTTCTTTCTTCATTCACTCTAACTGGCTGTAGCTAACTGCATCCGTAGCGAGAAAACTTGGAACTGCTTTCAAGGCTGTTTGCTTAAAGGCAATAGATACCTGAAAGTTAGATACAAGTCTCATTTAAATAATTAATCAGCAGCACACTCAGGGCCTCATCCCACGGCCATCTCCATCACTACCTGGGTCGATCTGCCCTGCTCCTGCGCTTTACTGTATTACAGTAACCTATACAATCAAAATCAGAGGCATCGCTCATGGTGGTGAAATTAAACAGGTGTGTAAGTGTCTGAAGAACCTGAGTCATAAATAGAATAACACTTACAAACAGACAACTATACTTATACTATACAGTAAAATATTGTTTGATAGCATTATATTATTTGTATGTATTATTATACATATTTACTTGCATTAAAAGATCCAGCTATACTGTTTTCACCAGGAGGGGAAGAGAGAGTGCTGGCAGATTAAGTGATTTGTATCCCTTCAGTACTTAATTATGTCTTAATTGAGCATTATACTGTTTTAACTGTCTTAATTATACTTTGCAAACTCTTACATATCATGCATACCATTGCTTAAAACCCCCCCCAGCCCTGTGCATACAGCAGCTCCGACCATGTGGGGCCTGCAGGTTTCTTCTCTCCCTTGACCGCACTGAGTCTGTCTGCACAGTGATCTTTAATAGTTAATCCACCTTTAATGCCTGCATTTAAACATCAGCCTGCCATTTGTGGACTAATTCTACAGAGCAGGCCTTAACTGAGCGCTAATTTATTTAAATTCCTCGCAGTGGACGTGATGATTAAGGGAGGAGGTGTGACCTTAGTTGTCTGGAGGGGCTGTTTGTTGTTCTTTAAGCAGAAAACACGGTAATAATTCACAGGGAGAGCTGCATACTAGAAAATATAAGCGAGGGTCACGGCAGCATGCTCGTTTGGGCTGTAGGAGGCTGTGAGCACGCTAAAGGTCAGGTTCTGCCCTCCGGCTCACGGGCGTCCCGTGGACTTCAATGAGAGCGCAGCAGGCTTCCTTCAGGACTGGAGGTGGCTGCGAGGCATCAGTTTAAAGACAGCTTTGTATATTTAAAAGGCTGGACATAATTAGGACTCCGCGTGTGAAAGGCAAGGAACAGGAAAAACACGAGATCCAAAAGGTAGGAAAAAAATTGGAAGAGTTAGAAGCTCAGCTGATAAAGGTAGAGGAATAAACCTCATAGCTTATGCTAGGGTAACTTAATAGTACTCTGGCCAGCACTGCTAAGTGTTAGAGCTTAGCTCTTCTGTACCGCTTCAGTCTTCTTTCTGTGAATGATGACGTAGCGCATCTGATCAGGTTCTCCTCTTTGCTTGAATCATATAGCAACAAATGGCTAGAAAAAGCTAAAGAATATTTCTTTTTTTGTTGAGTAATCTTAAATCTGCCCCCCAAAGACCTGGCAGTATACTTAGTGCCTTAAGCTTCCCCTTTTGCTTGTATTAAGTTGCTTTAATAAAGTTAATAATCAGTATAGAGTCTAGCATGGGCTGCTTTTTCTGCTTTTTTAAAAGAGTTGGAGAAGGAAAACAGTAAGCTGCAGATAGAATGGGCTCAAAAAGGAGTAGCTGGTAGCGGCAGTCTTGTAGACTTGCATTTGTAGCTTTTGTAGAGCGGCCGTTGCCAAGCAATAATTTGGAGAAGTATGAGTACAAGGACTTCATAGCTGTTCCCAGTAAAAGCTTTGTTCCAGCATCGTGTTCTTTGCTGGTATTTCTTTTTGCCTCAGTAATATGGTTGCAGCCGCACAGGCTACGTAATAGAGTTGCAGGACTAAATCTGTTACTTAAGACAGTTACCGTACAGCTAATCATCAGAGATCTGACCTTGCAAATACTGGCGTGCCTCTTCCTTAATTTGAATTAACAGCAGCATTTACAATGTTAAGTCCGATAACGATATAACGATAACGATATTCAAAGCACATGGTGACAAAGTTGTGTTTTTTTAAGGGCATTTAAATGCTTACAGGTGGATATTTCTAGAAATTCCAGTTTTCCCTCTTTACCTTGAGGCATGTAAATACCTTCCAAAATTGGGTTCAGCGTCGCTGTCAGCCAAAAGCATTCTACGCTACTAAACATTTTATATGAACCAGATTTTTAGAAGCTATTACATAGCTCATTTAGGGGTTATATCCCTTCATGTAGGATGCCAGATACTGCATATCAAACTAGCTGGGACTTTAAAAATAAACACCCAAACACATCTCACTGATACTGCTGCAGCAATAAAGTCAACAGCAAGTCTCATCTGCAAGAAAGCCTCCTTGCACGTTGCTTTGTAGAAAGGCCAAAGTACAGGCCTCATGCGGCCTCTGATAAATCTGGAGAGAGGGTGGAAAAACAGGTCCTATTCTACAACTATAGCTAGAAAATGTGTCCTGCTGCCTCCATGCCTTCCAAGAGGTTCCAGTTATGCTAGAGATTGTATAACAAACTTTTGTTTTTGGTCACCAGGTAGTTAAGAGCCTGCCTTGTTGGAAATAAGCCATGTGTAAAGATTACCAGCAACGTGATGCTGACATGCACTAGATACTCCCCAGCAAATTCAGCTGTATCTCTACGTGCCTGGGGCTGCAGTAGTTGAGCATGAGTTTACTTGAGTACAGTGAGGTATTTGTCTGCTGGGCTTGTGATATTTGAAGATGACAGCGCGTGTGCAGCTTCACTGCGGGTTACAAGCAAGCCCTCTGCAGCTTTACAGGACCGTAGCGTCCTCTGGTCCGTATTAGTCTGCTTTATGACTAGGAGTCAGCAAGCCAACTTCAGCCAGGGCTTTGACTCTGCAGTGGGATCTGCATCGGGTCCTGGCTGCTTTCACGGGCCCTTCCTGGATTTCATGGAAGGGCCTGGAGCAAAACTGACATCCTCCTTTGACAGATTTGCAGCTTATTGAAGCAAAATCTGTTTTTAGTCAGCTCTTCAATAAAAGTCTCCTGTGCACAGAGAAATCCACGTTGAAACGTGACCTCTCATGTGGCGAGCTTGGAGGAGGGTGTTCAGAATTGTTAAAATAACTGGTTTAATGAAAGTGGCTGAGTACATCCAAAAATAATCTATAACACACGGGACGCTTTCTGTCACGGACAACCATTTACACACAATGTAATAGTATCGCTGTAATGTCCCGCTGGCATTCAGCTGAGAGGGGAGGCACACGTCTGCCTTACAGTCACAAAAAGTACTGGGGAACTATAGTGCCGGGCTTGAAACCCCCAGGACCCCTGAACTGCCACTGTTTGAGACCTACATAGTGCCAACGAACTCCTGAAAAACACTGCAAAAATCTTGGGTGGAATTGCTAAGAAAACACGAACTCTAACTTGTTTTGTTTCTCTGGTGTAATTAAACAAGCTAAATAGCAATGCAGTAAGTAAATAGCTGCTTGAGAGTTACATTCGGGGCAGAAATTGGGTTGAGTCCTATTACGAGAGGTAATACTTTGTTCTTAAGGAAAATTTCCATCTGCTGAACAGGGCCTACCATGCCAGGGGACACTTCGCGCTGTACGCGGTGGGATCACCCGGTCGGTGCTTTTCCTCCACAGGGTGCTTTGCAGGTGCAATCTAAGCGCGCCATGCTTCCCACATCCCAACTTCTATAGCTGCTTGACAGAATAGGGGACGGAAACATGAAGCGATGCGTCTTGGGCAAGGCTATGGAGGAAATCGGTGGCAACAGAACTGTGATTTGAAATTTCCTAGATGCTGTGGTTTTTGTCTCATGCTCGACTGTGGCGTCGGGCATTTCCTGGTGGCTATGCGTGGCCGTGCTTTTAAAGCTGCTTACAGGTAGGCACTTCTGACAATACCGTTAGGCACTTACCTGAGCCTTTAGACAGTTCTGTACTTTGTCAGCTCTAGCCTGTGCTGTTCTGTAGCTCGGCTGGTGTCACAAGTTCCTATGACATCTAGGCAAACAGCTCAGGTTATTGCGTGTGCGTGTTTGCCCGGATAGGGTATGGGGCACGGGACCTTTGCTGTTGCGTTGCTGGGGTCGCTAGAAAGCTCATCCTCTAACTGTTGTTTAAAACCACTCTAGGGATGTGACTTTCCCCTTTGCCTTACCGCAGAGGTGAAGCCTGAGGTGAATTCTCATAAATGCCAGGAAAATCTTCGGTTTCGCTCTCGGAGTTCATCTGGCTGAAGTCGGTGGATCCTGCTCGCCGGCCTAGCCCTGGGGCCTCTTGCCGGGTGCCGTAGGGTGGCTGGCCAGCTGCGTCTCGCTCCATGGTGGCAGTTTGGCTGCCTCTAGGGAAAGTGGATTTGTTCGTGGTGGCCGGCACCGGGGCAGCACCTGCAAAGCTCTCCAGGTCTTTTGCTCCTGGGAACGGAATTGTGCACAAGTCAGTCGTTCGGTTCGCAGCTGGCTCCGAGCACGAGCTGGGCTAGTTGTGCGTTGTGATGAACAGGTGCCGATACTGACAGTGTATTGGGCTAAGCTGTGGGGCGAAGGGGCGAAGGTCTGGGGGGGAGACCCCTTGTGCGAGGGAACAGCAGCTCCACCTTGTCGCCCTTACGCTGACCCAGGGGGAAGCAAGGCCAGAAGCAGAAACGCAGAGCAACTTGCGTTCAACCCTGAGAAATACCCAAGCGGACTATGCTTTTGGGGCGTTTCTTTTTGGCTGAGCCTACACAAGTGTTTCTGTTTCACGAATACCTGCGACTCTGCCGGATACTGAGTGGCAGCAGAGGCTCCTGAGCTTGGTTGTTCAGCTCAGAGATCTGTGTGCTTACCTGGGGAGACAGAGAGACGTGCGCTAGATGCCGCTGATCCAAATTCATTTTCAGCAACACATTTAAATATCCCAGAGTCTTCTGGAAAAGCTTCTGTAATAACCAATGTGCAGACTTCCTCTGAAACGACAAATTGAGGCACGCTGTTGTACCGTAAGGGCCGAATGTTAGCCTGTAGGACCTGGTCCTTGCCGAAGGGACAGTTAATTGGTGATGGGGCTTGGTGGCCATAGGGCTTTTCAGAAAGAAGTGGTGTAAAGAGCATAGGAAGTCAAGGGATTTGGAAGGGGTGAAGATGAAGGAAGGATCTTTCTGCCTGTGACTTTAAGGAAAAAAACCCCGAAAATCCCACAGGTTAGTATGATTGATAAGTTTCCAGTGTCTCTCAGAATACAAGATGTTTTTCTTTGGCTGAATGTAAACAGGATAATTTGATTGTGTTACTAAATAAACCGGGGCCCTTCAGGAGCTTATGTCAAAACCAAGTACTTGAAAGCCGTTAGTCTGCTGCTGCACCCGTATCTTCTGGCCTCCATTTCAGTTTTATTGTTTTATCTTGGATGAGATGAGGGGAAAGAACTAAGCTTGGGGTAAACTAACTGATGGGATGTCTAACAAAAGATGTGTGATGTACTTACCAGGAGCTGCTGATGAGCAAGCCTCTGCTCAAAATAAGAGAGAGAATAATTAAATGCTTGTAAATGCCAAAACGGAAGAAAGACCTTCAGCCTTCACTCACCACCTCAGCTGTCACCCTTGTTGCAAAACAACCATCTCTCTGTGTTCATCAAGAGAAATACCGTCCCGCTAGGGTAAGTTCAGATTTGACCGAAACCTGATAGTACAAACCCCTCTCCCCTCTCCTCTGAGGTGATTCAGAAGATCGCTGAATTGATCATTAGTTACAGTATATTGTGACAGTGCCTTCGTGGCTCAGTGGTGCTTTCACTAATACCTAATGTCCTTGCAGTCCCTTCCCATCACGCCTGGTCTGCGCGCACATCCCCAGAGAAGGAAAGGACGGGCTCTATAGAGCGGTCTGCGACTGCAGATCATATGATACTTTTAAACCAACTTCTATCTCTATGAACATGTACTATGCTCTAATTTTCATAGTGGTTCTTGTTCCTGTCTTATCGCTATCCCGATAAAATTACTGTGCATCAGAGAGGCATGGCGATACCTACTTTTCCGCAGTATTCGGAAATCTGCAGAATCTATTATCGGGTCATATTCTCTGTACCAGTGAACCTGTAAGGTTGGCGTGGTGCGAATACGACATTCAAATACCACTAATTGACCCTTCGTAGCTCTGATGTTTTGTAGACCCTGGAGGAGGAGAAAATGGTGTAAAATGGCTGACATACGTAGTAATTGCTTAAATGGAGAAACACTTAGGCAATCAAACACCCTTTAGTGAATAAGATGATGGCATGACTCTTTTATTTTACTTAAAATAATTGATTTGATTCTAGATATATTTGAAGTGGGTTGAGAGTGAAGGGTTTTTTCGCCTGTAGACCAGCACTCATTGAAAGGCTTTAGCTTGCTCATGCATTCAAATCAAAACAAAAATGCAGAAAAAAAATCTAATTCTAGTGGATGACCAATAATGAGGGAGGCTACTGTGAGAGATTCCGCTTCAGCCTTTGTAGCAAACAAATGAGATGCATTCATGTGAGTGGTTCTGTTTCTCAGGATCATTTACCAATTAAGATACTAGTTTGATAGCCTTGCTAATGAAGTATGGTGATTTTTTGAAATGTAAATGAACCAGTGTTCCCACCCCCAGGGGTTTTCTAAAGGAAGAAGTCAAACTCAAAGTCTAATGCTAGGGGTTGAAGTCGCAGAAGAAGCGATGTCATTCAGCCAACCTTTGCTCGTTACCTTTGTAAACACAGGTGTGGTTCCATAGGAAGGCCCTGTCTGGCTCGTAGAGGGACTCTGCATCTATATAGCAAAGAAAAGTGATTTTATAGCTTGCATTTCTCACATGCATAAACCCAGCTGTGTTGCTGGCGCTTTACTTTGAAGCAGAGGAAGGCGCCAGAGTGTTTTATCTGCTGTTTGTGCACCAGCCTATCACGTACCCCACGGAGAGTCTCCATTCAAGTGCTCCAAGAGAAAATGCCTTACTGGACTGTGAACAACAAATTAGCGGAGGAAGAGCTGATAACCTGTAAATGTTGTTGGTCCTATAGATCATAAAAGCCAATTCACTGCTCACATCTTGTCGTCTCTGTATACAGCTCAGTTTTGCCTTCCAGTAGTTGTCCCCTTCTACGGAAATTTCTGCCTGGGTTAGCTGGTTCCAGGTCTAGCTCTTCCTGGCTTGTGTGGTGCATGTGTAACCACAGTGAGGCTGATTGTAAGGAAACGAGAAGGAACTTTGGTGCTCTGTCCTGACATTCTTCTTAAAGCTTAATTGATGTAGAGATTAGAGTAAGGTCTTTGATTAATCGAGAATGGCAGTCTTAAGGCTATCAAATCTTTGCAGTGCAAGATATGTGCTTGCTCCCTGGCAAAGTGTTGATGTCCACTCTTACCCATCCCATTTAGCTTTTGGACTACCTGTCTTGCATGGAAATGTGCAACTGAAGTGCCCGGGTTTGTTTTGCTGTGGTCATGGTCTTTTCCATAATCTGTCTGTTCTCCAAAATGACCCAAGTTATCAGCTCTTTTCCTCCCAGCCTGAGTTAAGATGGAAGTCCGTTCCTAGATAGTTTGAGTTCCCCAGCTCTTGACCAAGTGACATGTTCAAAACCAACTATCTATCTGAAATGAATCTTTGGAGGAGGCTGGCAAATGGCTAAGTTGTGTGGCAGCTGCTCAATTACTTCTAGCCTTATTCCCCTGCTCCCTCAATTCTCTTAGCAATTCAGGCTGGAAAATGTCCCAAGCCAGAAAGCCCTTTTCCAGGAGAAAGAGTCCAAATCTTGATATTCATGATGATTCTTGCCTCTTGGTGACCTGCTGAAGATGTGCTCGAGCTGATCCTTACAAAATACTTCTAAATACTATAAATAATAATTTAAAAAATGTGAAACCTACTCTTTGAGGGTCAATAGATAACGGCTGAATTAAAGTGGTGTAACTCTGGTGGGCTGAGCGGCTGCTAGGGACTTCATTGGCTGAGGAACCAATGGTCAGCAAAACAGTGGTGGCTTTCCGCTTTTTCCTGGTGTGGGGGGAAAAATAAACATGGCAGGATGGAGGCGGAGACTTCAGCAGGCTGAATGTACTTGACCCAACAGTGTTTGTACTTACTGTGACATTCCTCTGTCCCTGCCAGGATGCTGAGACTTTTGAGGAGGCTGAGCCTTCAGATTTACCCTATGAACCTGGAGACACAAACATAAATCAGTATGTTTAGAGCTACCTCCTTTTCCTTACAACACAGTGGTGTGTGCAAAAGAAAATAGTAGCATCCCTTGTAGCTGCGAGTGGGCTCAAGTCACCTCCAGGGCATGGGGACATTTACCTAAGAGCATTGATAGGGGCCTTTGTAAAGGACAGAAGTCACCTGTGAAAACTGGCTCCATGGCTGAATTAAGGTTCTTTTGCATTTTAATGGAAGAGTCTAAAGAAAAGCCTTGCTGCTTTAGCTAAAGTGAAAATGGTACCTCACAAAGCAGATACCGGATCCTTCACATGTAAGGATTCGTGCGTACCAGATAAACGTTAAAAAATAGTTATGGTGTCTCATTACATCACAGCAGTAATAAAAGGTTTGTTGGTTTCATCTGTGTTTCCCTCTTACTATGGCAAGAGGGATTGTTTCTGATGGAGTACTGCAGGTTGAAGAGCCGCCTCAGTGAAAGCAGCCGTGCAGGTCTCGATAAATAACTCCCAGCAAGCAGCCATGCTTTGTCATCAGCTCTGCTTCTGGGGTGAACATTAAAATTTTGGCTCCAAGCTGAGAGATAGCAGCATGTGAGACATGGAAACCGTATTTTTGCATCTGGAGAAAAGGAGCTGAACCTAGCCAGTTTGTCAGCAAGGAGAAGGCACAGAAATAACTGCATTGACTTTCTGCTTACTGTAGCAGCCAGATATGTCCCATGCTGATCTGTTTGGTTTGGTGCAACACTTGTGAGTTGCTGACTTGCACAGGGTGCCCCGGGGTTCATTTTCCATATCCCATAAGCCAGCTGTTTGCCCTCTCCCACTCTTGGCACCTGTGGGGTGGAATTAAGAGCCTAATACTGCATTGCCTGGGCATTGATGTTGTCACACACCCCGGTCCTATGTTTGCGCCTGTATGTGTCTGTGATCACGCAAGCAGTACCTTAAGGTATCAGTGAATGGTTACAAAGCTACTGCTTGTTGTTGAGTGATAAGCTGCTTCGGCCACGGTGAGTGGCCCTGCAGTCTCCTACGACCCAGAACGTGTCAGTGGCTG